TTTTGACTTATTGGTCTTCAGTTTCACTCCATGATAATCTGAGAAGATGCAGCAAATAATTTTAAGTTTCAAAAAAATTGCTGAGGTTTATTTTGTGAACTATAATATGGTTAATTCTTGAGAAAGTTCCATGTACTAATGAAAAACAAGTGTATTCTATGTCTTTATTTCAGGTTGACCCAGCTCCACTTCCAGCTTTTTGATTCTTTCCCTATTGTGGGAAGAAATATTTTCCAATTCTGAGATTCTTTCTTCTGCCTCATTCATTCTGTTGTTGAGGCTTTCCACTGAATTTTTAGTTAGCTTCATTATGTCCTTCATTTCTAACAGTTTGGCCTGATATTGTTTCAGTGTTGTTATTTCCTTTGTGACATATTCCTTGAACTCCTGTATTTCTCATTATTTACAAAAAGCTTTATAATAAAGATTTAAAGTTCTTTATCCCCCATTTTCTCAATGTCCTCCTCAATTAATTCAAGTTGACAAAGGCTATTGCTCCTTTGTGGGGGAGGCATCAGTAATATTCATTGTGCCTCTGTCTCTTCTTTTGGTGATTGCAATTCTGGTTAGCAGATTCTTCTCCTTAGGGCCAGTTTCTACACTGTGGTGCCCACTGGTCTACAGGTTGATTTTACTGTTTGTGTTCAGCACACTGTTTTTCATCTGTAGTCACTTGTGCTGCTCTCTCAGAGAGTTTCAGTCCTGGGCTCTTGTGGTAGGTTTCCACTGTGGTCTGCCTCCATACTCCAGCTTCTGCAGCTGCTCTGTCTCTACTTGGAGTCAAATCAAACAAATCAGCAAGATGGGCATTTCTTGCCTGTATCACTTCCTAAGCTCCCAGTGAACTCCCCTTCCCACTTGGCTGCCAGTGGATCTCTGGGCAAAGGTAAAGCTTAGATTGCCAGTCCTGACTTCTGCTGGCATATCTGGGCACTGTGAAACTGCTCTGTTGTCTCCACTGCTTTCCCGTGTCCTTCAGCCTCCAGGTACTCCTCTGCTGTTGGCCTGTCCTCTCCAATTTCCTAAAACCTGCCATCTTTACTTCACCCTGGATAATGAATCTCTATCAACGTAAACCTTTCATTACCCTATACTACCACCTTGCTAATTTCTGGGTAATAGTCTCTCAATAACGTTAGTGATCATTTATTTTAAAGATTTGTTTTTATTGGAAAGACAGATATACAGAGAAGAGGAGGGACAGAAAGATCTTTCTTCCACTGATTCACTCCCCAAGTAGCCACAATGGCCAGAGCCGAGCCAATCCGAAGCCAGGAGCAAAGACAGATTTAATCATTGGAGCCTTTCTGCTTGTTAGCCAAAGTTGACCTTGGCTGGTGAACATGAGTGTGACAAGCATGAATGACCCAGAGTGGCAATGGAACTATCTCCGAAGGAAACAAGATAGTAGCACCATAGCTGTTTTGCTTCTGTTGGTTCATTTTAGTGCATATGTATGAAACATTAAGAGAACTACAGAGGATGACATATATGTGTATTATGTAGAGTATCTCAATCTTTTCCTAGTATTATCACCCTGATTCTATCTTTTGTCTGTTTAACCTGCTAATTCTAAGTCTGCCATTCTTGCCTGGTTTGAAGTTGCTGACATAAATATTATTATGGATATTACTCTTGGTGTTTTAGTTGGTAAATTGGCAAAGAAGATGAATAAGCAAGTACTACTTGGATACTCCACTTTTCTGTGATCTGCTTTCAGAAGAGTGATTCTGCATTATCTGAAAACATCAGGGCACATTGCTCTCCTGGAACCATCATTGAGATGACACTGAATTGGACATTACTGTTCCTTTGGATAGCTAGAACTTGCTTTGCTCTAGTCTACCAAATAGGTGGTCAGGAAAATGAAAACCCAACAAAAAACCAAAGGTGTTAGGACTTATTGAATTCAATTGCATTCATTTAGACTGGATAAGAAAGCTATGATTCATCTACACCATGGAATACTACTCAGCTATTAAAAAAAACAAAATGCAGTTCTTTGTGGCCAAATGGGCCCAACTGGAAACCATAATGCTAAGGGAAATGAACCAATCCCAAAAGATTAGATACCACATGTTTGCCTTAATTTAACCTGTATTTTTTTTTCTTCTTTTTGAACCTGTAATTAATACTGTCTCAACACATGTTTTTGAAAAATTGTAAAACCTACTATACTTTCCAAACCTTGTGCTTCATCCCTAATATAACTGTTATACACCTCAATTGCTGAAATGTCAATGGAGTAATCACAGGATGCGGTTAAGAACTTGCATTATTTTTAATAGATTGCTTACTCAATATTACATCAATTAATGCCATAACATTGTATATTGTTGCCGATGATATGTCAGGGCTTTTGATTGACTGGGTTTTTACTCTGTTGGCTCTATCTTCAGACCAGAGAGGTCTCCCCAAAAAGCCGTTGAACTTATCTGGACAATAAGATGCTGGTCTCTATGCTTGGTATATGCTTGCAGTGAAGGAATCTTAACTGAACTTAAACTGTGGTCATGCAACAAGGTGGAGGAATTCACCATAGGGCAGGGTTATGGGAGGGGTGGTGGGAATCCCAGTACTTACAAAACTGTATCACATAATACAATGTTATTTTTAATAATTAATTAATTAAAATAAAAAATAACAATTGAATTCATTTAATTTATGAACTTAAAAAAATAATCATACAAATTTACTCTCTTTGATTATATATTCTGCTCCTCTGCTTGTAGAAAAGAAATTCAACATATGTAAATACAATGTATTCAAAGCTATTTTCTGACTTAGAATGATTGTACTGCCAATGCGGTGGTAAATGCTTAAAATATAGCCTGTATAATTATAGTAAGATGATGAAAAACTGTTATATGATATATTAATTCTGTATTCATTCAATCCTGTAATCTTGCGTGTGTTTATTTGTGGCCTTTTTTACTTTTAATGCATTAAAGTTTCAATTCACATTGCCAAATTCAGACACCATCTCTTGAAATTTGTATTTGTAATAGCCTATATCACATGTTGTAGAGCATTTTCATGTTATCAAATTAAATTCTATATCAAGACCTAGAATTATGTCAAGAGAATTCCTGGCAATGAGTGAATATGTGTGTAAAATAGGAGGTTATTTATGTACACATATATATTTAGATAACAATTTGATGTGCTTCCATATATATTAAAGATAATTATATATTTCTAAAGTAATGCAGTTCACCAACAGAATATTTAAAGAAGCAATGTGTAAGTGCTAAAAATGTGCATGTATCTGTAATGCCTTACCTGTACTTCATACCTGTCTCTAAAAGATACATTTCAACAGAGCTACTCAAAATCCAGAAGCTACATTTAAAAACATTGGCCTAAAGCACATGTTTTTATTATCACCCATTGTATTTCATAGACACAAAAATTTAAAAGCACAGCATTTGAAAAGTTATGCTATCATTAGGAAAACATTGAATTCGTACAATCTGTTGAGATCATATATTCAATAATATGACTGAGGACTGTAGGTCACCCTGGTTTTCTCAGACGCTCACTAGATATTATAAAGGAAGGTTTAGTTTTAAAAAGAGCAAAAGATAACAAATGTTTAAAAGACCTTCATGTGAATTTGAGCTTTATAATCCATAAATTTAACACCAGTTTTTCTTCCTTAACATAACACTAGTTGAATCTTTTGGAATTTTGATGTTGGTCTTTGAAAAATGAAATGTGTGTGTGTGAGTGTGTCCACTTAGATTCAGGGAACTTACTGTCTGTGTTATCAAGGTTTTATTCATGTTTCCTTTTGTTTAATTTTCATGAGAAGCTATGACAACAGTGAAGCTCCGTTTGTCGCAGACAGTGGCTAGGTTGGGGAATAGAACATTTACAGTGTTAAACAAAAAAGGGGGAAAAGTTTAAGTCTGTAATCCATTCTCCAACATTTGCTTCATAAACTAAGTTCCCAACTGAAAACAGTAGCAATCCAAATGAAATGATCTTTTGGAATGCAGAATGATCTTGTCCTTTAATTTTTTTATTCACATAACTGACCCACCATGGAAATGCATATTGGGAAATGACTGGGTGGAGGATGCTTCAAATATCATAGGGACAGGAGATGTGGAAACATACCCACTGTGTTATGGCGAAATATTGAATTTGGTGTTATGAAAATAGTTATTTCTCACCCTTGTTCATTGAAATTTCTTCTTTCTCCTTGCTAGTTTAAGAACTAATAAGATTTTATTTATTTTAATTTTTGTCAAAACTCTCCTTACTCACAAATTAGTCATGTATTATAAATTCAGGAACTGAAAATGTGGGTTGTGAATAGATTAATTTTTAAAAGTGGCTTATAAATTGCAAATCGATTTCTATTTGTATTTTATAATTATAGCTATTCCATATACATTTCAAGAAAGCAAGGAAAGTATCGTTTGGAAAATACATTAAGGAGCATTATGTAAAATTTCAATATTGACTATAAAACAGATTGAAATCCATTGACTATTAAAGGTAAAACAGCAACATTAGAACCCCAGTGGTGTAAATAAATTAAATATTCATGACTTAATAATGCTCTAAATTATCCTGTGATGTGGCAAACTTGGGTACTGTTGTCTTATTCCAGAGAGAAAGTATGGAAGTTATACAGTGCATAAAAAATTTATTTTACTTCCAGCCCATGCCAGGTTTAATGCCAAGTCTTTAGCCTGCAACAGAGAACAAAGCACATAATCCCTCCTTGTAGAAATAAAGAAAAAAATATTTTTAACTAAACCCTTGGATTTAAGACCATGCCATAAATTTAGAGGTCATATGGCAAATATGCTCAACAAATTTAGCCCAGAAAAGCTCTACTATATTCAAGAACATCTTTAAAAAATAACACTTTAAAAGCCTAATGCAGATAGAAAAGAGAGTGATCTCTGTATAAGTATGCTGTTTTCTTAAAACATGCTAATGTTCCTGAACACCAGTTTCATGTTACACTTTTCCTCTGACCTTAGGAGCTGAAGCTGTGGAGGCTCAGTGTAAAAGGTTTGAAGTGAGAGCCAGTGAAGACGGCAGGGTGCTGTTTGCTGCAGATGAAGAGGAGATCACCATTGGGGCTGAAAAGCTGAAAGTCACAGGTACTGTCAATCGAGGCTGTGGAACGTTGTTTACTTCTTGAAAGAATGTGCAACTGCAAAATATGCTGTTTGATTTCCATCCAGAAAATAAGGGCCATATAGCAACAAGGTGCTTGTTGTAGCTGCAGAGGAAAATTTAAATATTGTTTAAGTATTTAAATATTATTGGTCTTAAGAGAGTAAAGTTGTGTTTCTTAAGTGGAGAAAAGCAGGTGCTGTAGGAATACAGAGTAAAGGTGAAAGAAGGTGATGGACAAATAAAATGCCAAGGTCTATTTAAAAGTAAAAAAGTATGTACAAAAGGAGTAAAATGAGAATATTAAGAATTAAGCAGGCAAAAGGTTAAAGGTGAACTAGACTCTTGTTCTATAGAATTCTTAAGTATTTTCAAAGGTATCTAAGTATCTTGAAAGTAAATATAAGTGCAATAGTGCTGTACTCATATTATTCAGAACACATTACATTCATTATTAAAATATTAGGGTCAGTAAAATCAGCCACCTGCTGAAATTAAAGAAAGAATAACAGGCTTAGCAGTGAGACCGTGGATGGGGAAGAAGTCCATGATTTTAAGCACAAGCTCTTCTGAATTGCTATCTGCATGCATGACTTTTATTTAGAAAGCAAATATTAAAGTTTTTTAGATGTACTCAAACTGGTCTAAAGTTTACTAGAAGAAATAAAATGAAGTTTAATTTGGTGTTTCAAATGTTTGAATTTGAAATGGATATACAGGATTTCAGATATATTTATTCACACCCAGTTGAGTCAGAGCCGTGTGGGAGAAGTTAGCATGCAATTTAAAGCATGGGCTCTGTTTTCTAAGCATTTTAGATTGTATCCTTCTTCTGCTACTCTTAAATCATCCATCCGTGCTTCTGATAATTCACCTGAATAATTGGAATGTAATGATAGCATTACATTTGTCTAGGTGGCTGTGTACACATATGTCTAAAATTAGGCTCAACACATAATAAAGAGGATATGTTGCCTCTTTATTGTCAATTACATTTTATTCATGTAGTATCATTATTTCATCATTATTATTTCAAAGCATAAAGAGGGAGAGACTGAGACAAAGAAAGATATCCACTTTTTTCTGGTTTACTGTCCAAATGCTTGGTACAGCTGGTGAGGTTCACTTCAGGTTTCATGTAGGAAGCAAGGATCTGAGTACTTGAGCCATCTTACTGTCTTCTCTGCAATGCATTAATGGGAAGCTGGAGACAGCAATTTTAATGCAATTAATGTCACAGACATAAAGGCCTGGTTTCTATCAAGAAAATCTTATTGCTGGATGGCAATGAAATTGAGCAAGCATTGTTGAGTAAGGATAGTCAGTGGCCAACATTTCAACCAGTGGCATCCGAGAACTCTCATCTCTACTCCTTACATCCCCCAGAAGATCTCATCATGGATGTCCAGGAAGATACTACACTATTTGGTGAATGTCTGCAGTGATTCCCTTGACTGTACTTGACTCATTGCCCCGTGTTCTTTTTCTTCTTTGACAAGGCAAGAAAGTAGGTAAAGGGTGGGGCATAAGATGGCCCTCTTGACTCTTGTGTTACAAAGACAGGAAATTAAAAAAAAACACCAATCACAACAAGTTGTGGGTACTGGGTCATGGTGTAGCAGGCTAAATAGCCACCAGTGAAGCCAGCATACCATGTAAGTGCTGGCTCACCTCTTGTCTGTACCACTTTTGAAAGTGTTCCTTGCTTAATGGCCTGGGAGAAACAACTGAAAATAACCCATTTACTTGGGTCCTTGCCCGACCAGGGGAGACCCAGATGAGATGCCTGTTCTCGGCTCTGGCCTGGCTGGCTCCTTGGCCATTGTCACCTCTGATGAATATATCAACGGATGGGTGATCTTTCTTTCTCTTCTCTGCATAATTTTGACTTTCAAATAAGTGAATAAATTGTTATTTAATTATTGATTGGCATGCAATAGTAACAGATCAAGAAGAACATTAGTTCAGGCAAGGGTCTGGGCACTGATACTTAAATAGTTATTCAGGGTAAGAGCAAGCAAGGAGCTTCAAATACACACCTTCAGGATACTGGGCAGATACAACTTTAACATGTAATAAGTATTGGTTCCGTTATCTTAATTTTTCATCTTTTATATGTATAAAGTGAGTTAATATCACACGCTTCACTATGCAGATTTAGGAGCATAGTGATGTGTATTTTCCTGCCTTCCTTCTGCCTGTATTCCTACCCACCTGCCTTTTTCTTTCTTTTTTTTAATCTTTACTAATTTTTACAGTGGAGTATAGACAAAGGCTGTAAATAATAATCTAATCCCAGGATGTCAATCTCACTCTTATGTACTCTGTGTATTAATGATCATAGGGGAAAGTGTTAATATATGTTTGTAGGATTGGCATATTTCACCAAGTGTAATAGTTCCTACCTGGATTCATTTAATTGCAAACGAGAGGGTTGCATTTTTCTTTATGGCTGAGTAGTATTCCCTAGTGTATATATACCATACTGTCTTTATCCAGTCTTCAGATTGCAGGCATCAGAGTTGATTCCATATCTTATTTATTATGAACGGAGCTGCTATAAATTTAGGATTATAGATAACATTCTTACTGTTGATTTGGTTTCGGTTGGATAAATTTATTTGGTACTGCCCACTAGGTGTCACTCTTGAGAGCAATATAGGTATGTAGGATGCTGTACATGTGACTGAAATTTGTTTCATCTATATTTCAGTATTACTCCTGGGTACTTTGCATTTTTCATTTAAGGTGGGATCTAGAACCCTCAGTGGCTTTTAGGTTCTTGTGGAAGGTTGACTTCCTCTGTTTCTTGTGACACTTTGAACTGTATCATAATTGTTCCAGTGAAGTGCTGTCTTCACAATATTCCTTTTTTCTACTATTACATTCTGCCCAAACAGATTATGTGAGCCCCACATTGTTAACAAATAAATGCTAAGTGAAAATATTTCAATTTGCGAGAATCCCACACAATATCCAACACACTTTTATCTCTTACAGAGATACTTTTATCTCTTCCACAGTTAAACACAAATCAGCAAATACATACGTTCATATTCTTGATGAATTCTTAGTCTCTTCCTAGAATACTGTATAAAGTAGTGTTACTTGTGCCCATGGTAATTAAGGAAAATAAAGATATCAAAGGAAGTTATAATTTGGAATCTAAATTCATACAGGAAAAACATTACGTATGGTTTAGCATGCAATTTAAAGGCATATGGCTTGATTAGTAACCTCACATATACTCCCAAGCAGTGCTTAAGTCTTTTGACAAATAACACTACAAAGAGCCAGTGACTCCAGGGTGCTTCATATAAGTCAGGGAGCCATGCTTCAAGACTTCAAAGTTACATGTGACAAGAGATCTGTGTGATGTTTCTTCTAGAATTTTAAGTTCGCAGCGTAAAAGTTTCTATTTAAGGAGTATTCTTAGGCATTAAAATGAGAATGTACCCCTTCTGCCCCTTCTGACTTTATCCTGGATGCGCAATGGTATTTGTAAATGGACTTTTGATTCAGGGTGTTCCAGAGGATTAATGTATTTATGCTATAGGTATATGTATTTACCTGGGGAAAACTTGTTTGTAGTAAATACTGTTCACAGATGCAGCATAGCTTAGACTATGTATGTCTTGTATGCTTTAAAACATGCAGGAATTTTCCCAGTTCACACAAGTAATGCTAATCCAATTCTAATTCGCCAAGTAATGCTACCTCCTGAACTACATGAGTGGAGTAGAATGTCCAGAACCTACATCTGTACTTTAAATACCCTGTCATCACATTGAGCAATGCTGCACTCCTGCCGGACCTTGACTTCCAGGCACCACGTGCCTTGCTCAGTAATAATTTGAATGGATTAATACATATATATGTGTGGGTGTGTTTATCTGTGCATGCATATGTGTTTTATGTACACATATTTAAACTTCACAAGCAATCTTTACAGCATGGAACATAAAGGTATTTTAAGGCTATGTTTGCATATTTTAAATTTTTATTTTTATTTTATATTCCTGCCTGTTAGCTATTGGTGTTGTTGAATGCATTGTCTTCTTTTCAGACCTAGTAAGCAAAGATATAAACCTTTACACAGAAGAAAGTTCTACATTAGCGCTTTCAGGCAGAATCGCATTGACCTATGACTTCATTTATATTCCAAGCATTAAACTAACATAGAAAGCCAAGAGCAACTGCAGGTTGGTGAACTTTCTAAAGTAGAAAATACCACAGGACACTTTCATATTAAGGTAAAAGTAGGACTTGCGCCTCTCTAATTGTGAGAGGAAGGGGGAAATAGCCAATTGTATGAGGAAGAGGCTGTATCTTTATTTTTCAGAGCATAATAATTAAATTTGACAGCCTGAAAGGACACTGAAACCCAACCATGTATGCATCTCACATTCTAGTGTTTGAAGGCCAAAGGTATCACTCCTTTATCTCTTTTCTAATTGAGGGATAAGAATAAAAGACAACTTGTAATGCTTGTTTGACAGCAGAAGAAAGGATTTCCTGAAGAGCTGTCTGTTAAACTAAATGCAATGTTCAGGGTTTGAATCAATATATTCTGGTTTGCTTTTATTAGCTCCTGCTTCTGTGTTCTTGTCTGTTGAATTAGCACAGGGTGTTGAGGTCAGCTTCTGAACCAACCTCTCTCTTAGTGAGGGCTTTGTTCCTCTGAGCTGTCCACATGTCAAGAATGTGATGATGTTCCAGGCTAGAGCATGGGGCTTCTGTGCCAGAACAGCACCCAAAGAAATGTGATCAGAGAGCGGCTCAGGAAGATGTGGTACTCTCTTCACTTTCCCTGGTGAAGCATTCCAGCTTTGCAGATTTGGATCACTCGGCTACGAGCTGTTACACTACTTTCTCCCTAAGTGGAGTCTCTCATTTACTATGACCCCTTTTGGTATTTTTATTATTCTTATAAGATTCAGTTTTGTAGGCATAGGGATTCCTCCCTCCTCCTCCTCCTCTTTCT